ACAGCACTGTAAGGCCATGGTTATAGAGAATACGTATATCTCAAATCTCTTATCCTGTGTGATTTAGGGAAATAATATATGCACACTTCTTTTCTCCTTTTGCACATTTTTATTTATTTTCCTTGATTCTCTTGTTGATTCATTCAATCCAAATGCCAGAAATAAACATGGGTGTGCAAGGAGAAAGAACGGGTGTGTTGAATTGACTTCTCTATATTTATAACATGCAATATTTACAGGTTATGAAAAATATAAAAGCATACATCACTTGTGTGGATAAAAACTCTAAAGTGATGGTGTTTGGAGTACTATTTCGGAGATGATTTTCGTCTTTCCCCTTTAGGTTATCTAAACAATTTATAGAATAGGCATGAAAGAATAAATATAACATGGTTACAAAATGATCAAAGATAGAATAGTTAACTCTTCTTTGGATCTAACACAAATTGCCATAATATTGATGTTGAATCTAGTTGAAGAAGGTGTGTGGATCTTATTACGTCTACCTGCCGTTGCAAATAGACATCATTTTTCCAATTTGATCGTTGCTTTGAAGTCATCATTTGAAGTGATTGGAGTTGCTAGATTCGTTGATCGAGGGCTCTCTCAAGATTTATGGTTCATGTATCTCATGTTATTACATAGGACTATGATCAGGTTCTTAGGGTCCCTAGTTAGTTCCATTAATAAACACAAAAAGGATCGACTAGAGAAAGGAAGTACACTAGTATGCCACGTACTTACAGTTTTATAGCGGACTGCAACAACCCTGGATGAGTGACCCTTTTAGATTGGACTCTTTTTTTTTTTTTTTGTTAGTACATCGATATTATTACACTAAGGGGAAGGGGAGTTCAGCTGAGCCACACAATGGGCAACCTAATTTGGTATCGAATTTTCCATCCACGAGATTCGAACCTAAGACCTCTCACTTCCAAGTGAAGAGGAAACTACCAAACCATAATACTGAGTGGCTTTTAGATTGGACTCTTGGTGTGACAACCTGTCCCTAATTTTACGTTCTTATAAATTTTGATGAGTGAAATTATGAAAATGCCCTTGAGGAAAAGACATTGATTTTTGTTGACCGCCTTGTCGTGTTATGTAATATCCATTTTCTTGGCATATACTCGTGGTATTCGTCGCTACAAACATGTGGGTGCAAGCAAAACGTAATTTGGAGCTGTAACGAATGAGTTATTAACGAACAAAGTTATGGGCTAAATGGTCATTTAACCATAATCTGGAAGCGTCATGTGGAGGGCTGTGATGGAGAAAGCAAAGAGTTGGATGGCTGGGATTGATGAAAACAAAAAAAAAAGAAAAAAGAAAAAAAAAAAGGTGATAGAAATTACTGGATGGCAGGAAGAGAGAAGAGAATGAGGATGGACCAACCAGAAGAATGAGGTGAGGAGATGGTCAAATCGGGAGAGGAGAGAGGAAGGAGCTGACGAATGGGAGAAGAGGAAATGAGGGGAAAGGAAGGAGAACATAGCACCAAATCCCCTTGACTGTTTCGACTCGGCAACCCAACGTCTGACCCAGTTCTTGCTATTGATTTTCGATGCCTTTCACAGTGTTTTTGGAGCTTTTCACGGCTAGCCACCTCTTCAGAATAACTCTAAAGCCTTCCCTCTCCCATTTACACCTTCCATTTTGTTTAACCCCCAAATCACTAAGAACAAACCCTACGGGTTCATGGGTGCACGACGGCGAATCCGCCATTCCTGCAACGATTTCTTTCGATCTCCACCACCATTACACTGTCCTTGAACCCAGGAACAAAGCCCAAACAACCTTGCGGCAGAGCACCGGAGGTGACGGATCGAAGCCACTCATTTCTAGGGTTTATGGCGGGTTAAAGAGAAATTGGAGCTTTTCCCGACCAAATTGGCCTTAGTCATAGGTATGAAACTCGCTCCACCCATTGAGATCTACAAATCCGTAAAATTTGGTAATTTTTGGAAATAGTTGAATATTCTGGCGAGTTGGGGCAGCTGGCCGCCACATGCGGCGGCGCATGGGCCAAGACCCCACCTGCCCTTCCCAGACTAACTTGGATACCCTAATTCCATATGTGATGTCTAATTGACAAAATATCGTCGTATGACTATAGTTTTGATAGAGACCACCACTTGGTTATTATATGAATCGATGATCCGACCGTTGAATTGGCACCAAACTTTAGTACGTGATAGTACGTAATATTTGTGGACATTAGGAACTTATGGATTTGGAATCTGACGTACTGATCTTCCCGATTTGAATTTCTAAAGTTCGTAAAATCCAACATTGACTGCTACTTGAATTTGCGATTGGCGAAGATTTAACTGTTGGATAGTTCTGAAACTTTAGGATGTTGTTCTAGAAGTTTATTGAAACTCTTGGGAAGTTACGGATAAAAAATTCAAGGTGCAAAACTTCCAAATCAAGTTACGTAGAGTTGTGGACCTTACAGTCGACCTTTGACCAACGGTTGACTTTTGGTCAATGGGTTACAAATCATTCTGAAACGTCTTTGGGGATGTGTTTTATATAAGTTACGTGTTCTATAGATAAGAATTCTGAGACGCGATTTGATATTTGTTCTAAGCGATGATTGTTCGTGACTCCTCAATATTTGTGTTAGGGAGTTGTAGCGCGGACATTAGGTGAGTGGGTCTTTTCCTTTTTATAGTGTGTGTGTCTATATATATATATATATGATTAATAGTTTCCATTTATGCATTTGAAAAAGAATTTCTTACGTACGCCTGGATTAGACTGAAGTTTATAAAAATTAGCAAAATGACAAAATTTATGAAATATGATGCATCCTACGGGATGCACATGTATGCTTATAATCTTTGATGCCATGATTATACACATGACTATGAATGATATTATGCTGAGTAGAACCATCAAATCACTGTGGCATACTTATATTTATGTAGTCTGCTCATCATCGTTGCACCCCGGTGTTAGTGCTCGCCTAGAGCCAGGGCCAGTCTTTCACATGTATGAACACCTCCACATCGCATGCTCACCTTGGATCCAAGTAGGTGCCAGTCCTATCATACATGTTGCATTAGGCGTATATTATAGCACTAGAGCCTTATTATGATTACACCCAGTCTTCACGTGAATGTAACACTAGAGCGTATATTATGATTACACCAGTCTTGTCATACAGGTTAGGCTACTCTGATTCGTGTGCTGGCATAGATTGATGAACATCAGTTCAGTCGTACAGGTCGCATTAGGTGACTCCGACTTGTGTGCTAGTATAGATTGATGAGCACTTGATTTTACTTATATTACTGTTGAGATTTTGTGATTTTGGATGTCCTACGAGATATTGTGCCGTAATGAATTCTTGAGATTTTGCAGGCTACAGTAAGTATTTTTATACTATACGTAGTAAGTATATTTTGGAAACGATACTTGTTTTACGACAAGGGGTTACAATGTTTTCAAAATGGTTTTTATAAAGCTTTATTTTCAGGCCCACTCACCTTTGTTTTTCACCTCTCCAGGTTTTAATAGCTGAGCTTTCTTATCGACGAGGATTTGTGGCAAATCTTGGTATTAGAGATTACCTTCGATGGTATGATTCTAAATCCACTCTACTGTACTTTACTTATGCTCTGACATCACGTGTGAAATGGGTTCATTCTCGCTCACAACGCACTCTTATATTTAGGCACTTTTAGGTTTAAATTTATTCACATTTTCCACATCATTACAATTTATAGCTTCGTCATCTTCCAGGTATCGGCCAGCACAACTTGATTCAGAGCCCTACGGAACTTTCCGGGTCGAGGTGTGTCACTTGGATCCGTTATTTTGTTTTAATTTTCTATAAGTGATTCTAACTTTCTAAATACAAATTGGCAAGCTATCCATCCTTCCAATCCACAATATTTCCCACAGTTTGAACCACGGTAACTATGCTTTAAGATGACATTAATCACTCGTTTAGACCTGATCCACAATGTTTCCCACAATATGAACCGCGGCCATTTTATTGGTTATCATTGAAACATATTCCAAATTTGATGTGTTTTTATTTGGACCCATATTATTGGGCTTGGGTCGAGTGTGACTTTGAGCTCGACCCAGAAGGAAAACTTTCAGGCGCACATTATTTATTCTAAAATTGAAGGGAAGGCAGCCACTGTTCATTTTTTTTTTTTTGGTTGATTTTGCTTTATTTACAACAAAGCCATAGGATTTGGGGCTGGTTTGGTAGGTAGTTATTAAAAGTTACGAGGGTAATTTTGTCTTTTGAGGTCAATTCCTTCCCCCTCGATTTTGCTTTATTTACAACAAAACCATGGGATTTGAGGCTGGGTTGGAGCGTAGTTATTAAAAGTTAGGGGGTAATTTTGTCTTTGGACATATTTCGAACTGAAGCTCCCTGCCCAGTAGCTTTCACCTGATATGCAAATTGCCACTCGGCTTCAGAAATTTTTTTTTATTGTGTAAAATGACGCGACTGTCCATCTCATCTTCAGATCCCACGGTGAGGATGATAAGTTAAAGGGGTAGAATCATCTTTTTATCAATAGGGTTTCATATTGGGGTTAGGTTCCTACCTCGTCAGTTCGTTCTTCTTTCGGTGTAGCTAAGGCTTTGCAGATCCTGGCATAGGTGAGTGGAAGAGAGACAGTGAGAGAAAGAGAGAGCGATTGTCCGAATAACAGGGAGAGAAACAGAGAGGGAGGGGTTGGGATGGTGAACAGAGCCGAGTAAGGTTCCTTAGTCCATGAGTCACTTTGAATCATCCGCTTTTGCGTGTCGGATGAGTGGCTGGATTTTGAAAGCTAAGTTCCATTTTTTATTGGATTCTTTACTGTTAGCATAGATTGTCATCATTTCAGCCTTTTTGCTGTGAATTATTTCCTTCTTTTGTTGCACTGTTAGGTCAAGTTTTGGGGGTTCCTTTAGTTGTTTCGTTTTCTGTCATTTTCTCTCATTTTGGGGATGCATTTCTCTGTTTTGTGTATTGCTCGTTGTTTTAAGGTCAGTTTTCTTTTCTTTTCTTTTCTTTTTGGGTTTTTTTTGTGGGTTTTCAGTTCGTTAATCTATGACTCTTTGTTCAGATTTTTCGTTCGTGTATGATTAAATGGGTATTGGGTTTTGGTGGTTGAAAATATGTTTTTTTTCCTGCTTATGCTTCTTGCTCATTTTTCTTGGGATTTTTTGTTTTGAGTTGCAAGGGTTAAGAGACCACTAAAATCTTAGGTTAATGGGTATTGGGTTTTGGTGGTTGAAAATATGATTTTTTCTGGTTAAGCTTCTTGCTCATTTTTCTAGGATTTTTGTTTTTCAGTTGCAAGGGTAAAGAGAATAATAAAATCTTGGAAATCGGTATTGGCATTTGTATTAATGCATTTCCATTTTTGTTGATTTGCAGGATAGGTGCATTGACACCTAAAAATATTTGTGTGAACTTCATAAATTTTTCTGAGGCTCCAAACGTTGAAGGGTAAGTGTTTTTTTAGCTAAGTTCAATTTTAATTCGATTCTCTACTATCAGCATAGATTGTCATCGTTTCTTCCCTTTTGCTGTGAATTATTTTCGGATTTTGTTGTGCTGTTAGGTCAGGTTTTGGGGGTTCCTTTTTGTTGTCTGCATGAAAAATGATTGGATTACATTCAGCGTCATGATTTTCCTTGATGTTAAGAGAAACCCATGCATACATAGCCAACTACACTGAAGCATGAATTGAAAAAAAAAATAATGTACATGATTGTTATTGCACTGCTTCATTTGTTCCAAGTCACCCCAAATTTCTCTGCATTATGGTTGTTAGGACAATAGATTAGGTTCCAAGATAAATTTCCAAAGTTTTACTAGCTTAGGTGTAAATTATTTTTCAGAAATCAAGGATGCAAAATTTTTATGCATGTTTTGAAATTGGTTGTAGGAAGTGGGCTTCCAAGTCTTAACAATAGTGGACTTTGTGAAATCAGGGTAATCAAATGGGGATAACTTTATACTTGAAAAACGCATATTTTACACACACACACACACTTGCACATATATTCTGTCAAAAATCAGATTTGATTCGCACGGATGAAGATGAACAATAATAGGCTAGCTAGGAGCCGAGTAAATTGCATTGATTATGATGTTGTAATTGGATGTGTCTATACATGTTTGTTTCTTTAATTTATTCCATAGGTCTTGCTAGAAAATAAAGAATGCAAACAAAAGAACTACCCCTATTTTTGGAACTTCTAAGATAATCCTAAATCCCAATGGACACTGAGTGTGGTCAATCATCAGGACAACTGGTTTTTTTTTTTTTTTTTTTTTTTTTTTTTTTTTTAATTTTCTGGGGGGAGGGGGTGTGTGGGTGTTAGGGTTAAGGAGGGATAGTGGTTCTCCAAGATTACTGGGTTATGGTTGTTAAATTGACACGTTCCTAGATTATTGGATCACAGTTATTTACCTTCTGTCTGAATTTAACATGTTCGAGAGTTGCTAATGGATTTACTATGGTTGGAGTGAAAACTTGGTTCTTTGGCATTTGAAGGTATATAATCATACACTTTTTTTTTTGTTCTTAGCTTAATCGAGGGAACATGCTTATTTATATTTTCTTTTATGTGAAAAAGTGAAGTGCACCTCAATTTCTTTTAAGGTTCTCTAATTTTTGTGATGTTTGATATGTATTTTATGGTTTGTGTTTTGTGGATTTTAGGAATTTGGATTTGGTATAAACTATTTGCACATTTTCTGTTGAATTCTTCTGCTATATTCGTTAACCTTGGTCTTTGGTTTTCAAATTATGTTTTTTGGGTATAAATTTCGGGATTTTGGGGTTTTTACAGTGGTGTGTTTGTGGTGGCTCACAGTTCGATCTTAGTCTAACAATAGAAGAAAAAAGTACAATTACAAAAGTTAGATTTCTTCTGCAATTGGATTAAGATTGAACGGTGCATTGTCACATTTTTTTTTTTAACCATGATTTCTAGGAAAACATACTAATGTTATTTTAGCCAAAATTAATGTTGAGGGCCAAAAGGTACCTGGATTGCAGTCAATTGAACTGCAGAAAAAAAAATAGAAAGGTGTAGAGATTTATGTGTGGTTTTTATTGTAGCAAGCCGAGATTTAATTGGTTTAATAGTCTAATGGAATAGTTGGGGAATTTTGCATTATCTAATCTTTCCACCTTTATATGTATTTGCTTAACATATAGCAAACATTCTGAAATTTCGTGTGTTTGAACAGTGACATATTGGGATTGGTTTTTGAATTCCTCATTCAAAATACATAGCACTACCGTTTGTTAAGCAGATGCATAGCTAATAATAAACATCTGTTGACTCTCAAACTAACCCTTTTCCCGATCCTCAAACACATGGCTAATTCAATTAAACACACATTTGATTGCTGCAATCATTGTCAGATATTCCTTGGGAGTAAGCATTGTTCAATTTTAATCGCAAATGGTAGCTGAAATTATCTTATTTATTACCACTATTGATTTGGATTTGTAATACACAGTGTTTAAATCATTTAATCGTTAGTTAGTTAAATTTAATACTGGCAGTTTGGTTGTGATCGAATTGATCCAGTCTCAAAAAGTGTGGCATGTGAGGTGATAACAGACTAACAGAGGAGAATGAGTTGATACATGTGTGTTTGATTTACAAATTTTGGCAAATTGTTGCCATTTTTTATTTTTTTGTTTGTTTCTTGGTGATATATATATGTCTTCATAACCACATAGCGATAACTTCGAGTTTCTAGAAGTTTTAATGCGTTTCGTGTCCTAACGTCCACATAGGTTCTCACTAAGATCTTTTTGTTTCTGATTAATTTAGTTTTTCACCATTGGAATGAACACGATGGAACAATCGAATCAACTTTAGTTTTCCAAAGACCGGCTCCAACTTTGTTGATCAATTTCGTTCTCAATTTAATCGGTTATCTACTTGAATCCATTTTTCTAATCCTAATTAGTTCATGCAATTAGCGCTCTTTCCTGTTTAAGTATGCTAAATACTTTAGATTTGAAATTTTGTGTATTCAATATCAAGATAGAGAAACTTTTCTCTAAAACACCATTTGTCCTTTTATGCATTTGTTTCTAACTTTCTGTTATTCCTTTTATTGTTCCTCCTTTCTTCTAATATGTAGTTGTTTTCATTTATCTGTTAGAATTGGAAAAATTGAAGTTGATGTGAACAAATGGCAATTGGCTTTGTTAAAGGATAGATTGCATTGAAATGTCGCTGTAATGATCATCGAATTCCCTCTCTGTTTGGATGCTTGGAAAGTTTGGTGGGAATTGGAAATTTAGTTTGGAAATGAGAATTTGGAGTTGTTTTCTATGTCGGTTATGGGATTGACAATTTTCAACTTAGTTTTGGCTAAGAAATAATTAGACTGTTACTTATTAAGTTGGGTTAGGAGGATTAAAGGGTTTACGGTTTAGAGTACTTGCTATTGCTCTAAAAATTGTTATTGCTCATGATTCCAACATGCCTTACGATTATACAAAAAACATAGTTTATAAAGATGTTTTAAAACATTTACATGAAGGTATAAGTTTGCATTGTTATTTTGTCCTTTTGTTTGTTTTTCTAAACATGACTCTGCCGTTCTTTTGATAAATTAGCTTATTAATTTTTCAATTTAATTTGCTTCTCAATTTTTTTTGTATCTAGATTGATGGAGATGATGCCGCTTCATTGTCTGAGGCCATACCAGCCAGCAAACAAGCTCCAAATTAGGGTTTGTAGGATGTGGATCACATAAACCATCGAAGATGATCCTCAGCCACAAAGTCTCGATTGTGTGTTTGTCGATAAAGAAGTGAGAATTTTGCACCTTTTTCGTTATTGTAAGATGCTTATGTTTTTATATAACCAAGTGTACATACTGTGTTCTTGGTACAACAAATTTTATGGTCAAACATTCTCTAAAGTTCATGAACTAATTGCTCTACGCAATTCGCTGCCCAATTATACATCACTTCTACATGATTATGTTTGTGTGGTTAACTGTTTTATTGGATTCAATCATGGGCCTCGATGTCAATTTTTATACTGGGCCACTATATTCATGCAAATCCAAAAGAAATCAAAATTCCATCTTCTCCACATAATGGCATGTGTTACAATAAATTTCATTCTTCGAAAAACAAATTTTAGAGTGTGTTCTTGACACTTTTACTCTGTTTGCATTTCACTATGGATATTATATTTAATTCTGCTTAAACAAGTTTTTTTTACATATGTAAACAAAACTAAGTAGAAGCCATCAATTCTTCTTTTTCTTAATTTGTTTTGTTTCTTTTTTTACCCATAAAAATATAATTAAAAGTTCGTTTACAAGGTTGCTTCAATTGCTGTCATTTCGATTCGTAATGTAGTCTTTACTGTTATGGTGTATTTTATCATAAATGCTGTCTCTGTGGCCACAGTTGTGCTATCCTCACTGTTTTTGAGCTTCTTAAACCACATGTGTTAAATATTCTCTCGCTCATTTAATAATCTGTATTATTTTAATTTTCTCATTCTAATAGGGGGATGCAGTTCATGGGACTATGAAAGCTCGAGACATCCAATTTTTTTTTGGACCTTTTGAGAGTTGGCAATGCATACGAGATTAGCAAATTTCGTGTTGTTCACAACAGGACATTGAGCAAAATTGTCCCTCATCCTACCGCAGTTAAATTAAATAGGAAAACCACAATCATTCCAATTGACAAAACAAACCAGGAGATCCCAAAGCAGTGGTTCAATTTGATTGACCTTGATCAGCTTCATAAGAGTATCAACCACGATGTTGAGCTTACAGGTAACAAATTTGGTTTTACGTGCTGCACTAACATTTGAAATCATTATTATAACTTATTCATTGCCTTTGGTGTGCAATCATTTTCACCGTTAAATATCATTCGCATACGTGTTTGGTTGCTTAACGGCTATGCAGCCGATTGAAGAGGTGACTGTCCAAAACTTAAGAATTGCAAAGAAGAGGGATCTTAACCTGCAAGATATTAGGTCATTCATGTTTATGTTAAGTTCAAATTACGCTTTATACATAAGGCGTCGTATTTATATCATATAAAACAACATCACATTTTTAAAAACTTACAGGGGCGAAACGGTTAAGATCACCTTATGGAGAGAAGCTGAAACGACTTTTGAGGATATTGGAATGCAATCCTTTTTACCACCCATCTTCATTGCTTTAACAAGCCTCAAAGTCAATACCAATGTTGTACCTCAATGTCCTCTATTTAGCTACTTAGACCTTCAATTTGTTGATTGTTATGTTTTATATATAGGAAATCCTGTACTTGGAAGCACTAGATCAACTATTTGTATTTTCAATCCAGAGATTCCACAGCTCACCCAATACAAACAAAAGTAAATCGACAACCTTCCTTTAATAACTTTGCTATTTATATTTCTTCAATATATCTTTCTCAACCTAAACATACACGACATAGGTTTCAGCATCTAAGATCACATGTTCGAATCTTGCGCACCTCAGCTGAGATGTATGTAGACCATGCTGTTAATCCTAATTTTGAGCCCAAAACGATTAATGAGCTCTTTCTACTTGATCCCGCTTTACACAAAGTTAGTCTCTTCTCACATATCTGTTAACAAAAATCACATCTTTTTAATAATAAATTTTAGCACTTATTCTTGCTTGGCTACCTATTGCTTTTTTCTTTATTCATTTATATTTCATGTTTACAAGATGATGATTAAATGTATTTCATTATTTAAAAATTATGTGATTTCATGTTTGAAATGAGCTTTTTATGTAAGTAATTTATCCACTCATTAACCTTAAATTCTTTTTCTTCATAGATGGTTCTGGTACCTGCTCTCTCATTTTTTTCATAGGCACAACTCTTTAATTCTTCTACTTCTTCATCATACTTTGAACTTCTTTCCATTTTCAGCTTTGAGTTCTGGATGACAAGCTATATGCAAGAAGGTAAGCTATTTTAGTTTTTTGTCCATATTAGGAATATCCCCAATTTTGAAATTTTAGGGATTTGATTCATTTTCGTTAGTCCAATTGGGTCGTTAATTGACATAAGTATGGCCTATTACAGAATGGCCACAAAGATAATGATGTGAGTCAATGACAAGCTATTAGTTGATAGGCCAATTTGGAAGTGTATTTGCTTAAAAGGATATTAATCATACACAGAAATATAGATTGTATGTTTATACTGTACTGTATCTACATTACAGCATTATACACTGCAAGTCTATTTGTATACAAGTCATTCAACTGGTGATTCAAGAAGTATATTGCTTATTTTATTTTGTTTGTATATATGTTTTAACAGATAAATCTTTAGTTTAGTATATATGATTTTCTCCAATGATTTTTTTCATGATTCTGCATCTGTACAGAAAATAGTTGAGTTTTAGTTTGTTTGCTTCATGAGATCTTTCTACATAGCAATCTTTTGTACTCATTAAATTTTTTTTGTTTGAGTTCATATGATGTGCTTTTACGATCCTGAGGTTTTAAATATAAGAAAATATTTGACTTAAAATTTTCTATATGGATATGGTTTGATCACCACAACTGATGTCATGAGCAGGCACACACAGATAAGGAAGAGGTAGAAAAAAAACATTCTGATCTTTTCTTTACTATTGAGTTAGGTTGGAGAACAGGCTTTTGTGGTTTCTAGAGTTGATTTTCTCTCTTTTATGCCAGACCGGCTGACTTCTTTGCTCTCTCTCTTGCTCTGTTCGAACCAGCTCTCGCCTTTACACGTTTTTCTCACCAATTGCTCAAGATTTTCAACTCTCAAACATCTCAGGTCACATGCATGGAATAATGATGGATTTTTCTTGAGGTGATTTTATTGTTTCCTCTTTTGAAATTTGTCTCTGTTAGATTGTTGTTTTTCAATTTAAATTTCTCTTTTCCAACTTGCGCTTCACTGAAGAAATGACAGAAATTTTTCTTGAAGTCATTTCATTGTTTGTTTTCCTTTGGAGGATTGTTGTGATTTGGTTGGTACTATTGAGATCTGCCCATGTGTCAATGAGCATGCTCATTTTTGTGAATGTGAAGCATGCCATTGGTGATGCAATATGTCTAGCCAAGATAGAGATGGTCTTTTAAAGTTAAAGATGGATGTAGATGGGTTATGTGTCCGATTTTTGTTTTCTCTTCCTTTCTTTTTTATTTTTCACCTGCGTCGGTGATAGGAGCATATTCATGCGACTTAAATGGCTTGTTCTCGTACATTTACGTTATGTTTCTTTAGTTATTTTAGTTCTTTATGCTTCTTTTGTGTGTTTTCAGGTTCTAAGGGCTTAGGGAGCAAGAAAGTGCATTTTGAGGCCATTTGGAGCATTTTTGGGCATGGATTGGATAGCTTATCCATGGAGCCAAAGTTTGGACGAATTTGAAGGCCTTATTTTCACTTTGGACATAAAACAAAGGGCCTAGCCCATTCTCTCTTATTCTATCCCTTATAGCCATGCAAAGAACCATCCATTCCATCAAAAACAATCCATCAATTCACATGCAAAACCACCATTAACATACATGCACCCAAACAAAGCCAACCTAGCTAACCCTACATGCATTATTTATTAGCATCTTTACAAGACATTATCATTGCATAACATTCCACTTCCACCTCTTTCCAACCTAATTCACATGCATATCAACCCTACATACATTAATTAGTCATTCTTTTCATATTACACTCAAATGCATTCACATGCATTTCAAGAAGCAAAACAACATTGTGCCGTGAGCTTCCCTTGCATTTTCAGCTTTCCTCCTTGCATTCACATGCATAACCAACCTAGTGTCACTCCCATTCATTCCCTTTAATTATTTAGCCATTATCATACATTTATTCTCCCATAAACAACCCAACAATGCCGTGAGTTCCCACTCCCATTTCCAACTTTCCATAACTTTTCCTAGTTGTTTTATTACATACATTCCCCCTTCATTATTCCAAACACATGCACCCATAATCATTCATCCCCTCCTAGCTGCAATATTCCCTCTTTTGTTCCCCCATTTCACCTATAAATAAGCATCCAACACTCCTCAAAATTCATTCACTCTTCCATACACATTTTCAGTTACAAACACTTCCATTTTCTGTGCAGTTTTTCTCCTTCATTGCAGCCACTATCCAACCACTTCCCATCCCTCCAAAACACTTCACATAATCCCCAAAGCTCACCTTAGACCTTGTGCTACAACAACGAGGAAGAAAAGAGTGCTTAAACGTTCATACAATTCAAGTTTGAGTTGTTGGAATGTTTAGGTGTTTCTTTGATTTCAAAGTTTAAATTTAATTCTCTTTGTTTTGTACGTATGAGAAGGGAAGAGAAGAGTGCCTAAACGTTCATACAATTCACGTTTGAGTTGTTGGAATGTTTAGGTGTTTCTTTGATTTCAAAGTTATGAGGAACTAAACCCCCTTTAGCTAGGGGGTGATTCGAAACTATGTTTATATTTGCATTTTGAATTGATTACGTTTGGTTGGAATTTCATAAGTTGTGGATTCAATTCGTTTAACTGTTTGATTGATAACTTATTTATGTATGTTCATTGAGATTGCAAGCTTAATTTTCATGCATAAATATGACGCTAGAATATAAGTGAATTTCACCTAATCGTTATGAACTTATATTCACAAGTAGTAGAGGTTGCTTATAAACAATCGCGTTAAACGAATTCTTGGCATAAGTTTCATGCGTATTCCATAGTAACGAATGCCTCGTCGATGTTTATGATTTCCGTTGAACTTAATGATCTTGGTTAAATGTCTCTATCATGCGTATTCCATAGTTAGGGACTTTGATTAAGAATAATTTGGTTGTAATGCGTATTCCATTCAATCCAACGAATTTAGGGAAATCTGAAAGTTAATCTAAGCGGATCTAATTAACTTGGAGCATTGAGTTTCACAACTTATCGAAAGACCAACTGAGAATCAATTTTGTTTGCAAGTGTAACATGTGTGGAGAAGAACCCCTTG